TGTGGAGTGTTTTTGGGATTCGGGGGTCTGCGGGTGGTGGGGTGGAAGAGGGGTGAAGGCCCCAAAAAATTCTGTGTGGCTCTTGGACTGGAAAATCTCATGCACCGGCCATACATGTAACCTGCACATTCACACTGCTGGGAGTATGTGAGTATGAAGAATCCAACACTTCGACTTTAGAGGTGTGGCCATTCACATCCTTTCTCATCGGCCATTCTTTCAGTGCCGAGGAACGCATCTTGTACGAGCTTTCGTGCCCGTTGTCGCCGCTTCTGCGCAAAGCCCTGCGAAACCTTGGGGCATGAAATCATACTCAGATGTTGGCCCATTGCTGAGTGATGTTGAGCGAGGCATCAAATCGCCCGCGTTGGTCTCAGCCTAAGCCTAGGTGCCCCATGACCCTGAGAACAAACAATCAAAAAAAAATGTCAAATCTGGCGAAGTCACATCTGCCTTTCTGTCGTATGCACCATTTGCATCCACTGCAACCTGTCAAAAAAGAGGCAGGAAAGGCGCAATGAGCCTTTCCGTGCTGTTCTGACTGATCGCTTGAGGCTGAGGTTGTCGGTGGGCTCTACAATATCTACCTTGCATACAGGCCCGTGCCCCAAGAGGTGTACCGAATCACAGGACAGCTCAGGGAAAGTGCTGGAAGGTGAGCCCTCAAGCATCCTCAAGCTGCTTTTGGGAGACCTTCATGACACGTCATGTTCCCAACAGTCCGAGTCCCCGTCCAAAACCCCACCCATCCGATTCGTCTTCGCTCCCACATCCGATCGGCGGCCTCCCCATCGATCTCGTTTAAGATCCGATTGTAGGTCTTGGCAGACCTCGCGGTCTCTTCTCTCCGCGTGGCGGCGGTCTCGTCGGTGACGCGTGGCGGTGTTTCACCCCCACGAGTCTCGAAGGCCACCGTGGCGCCGTTGGAGGTACCCCAAAGTCTGGTGGAAACACCACAACACTTTGCCAAATCTCCAGCCCAACCGCAAGCCCAAAAAACCCATAAAAGGAAATCCATGAGTTTTGCAGCATGTTGCCCGGCTGTTCCTGGTTCCAGCCGACTTGTGGTGCACGTCCGTGCCGTCTCCGCACTTGCACGCGCGCCCTGCAGTGCCATCCACTGCTCACTCCAAGGCACAGTGGATGGCCAAAGTGGTTGCCCTCTAGATCCCCGCGATCAAAAAGAAATTCGCGGGCAAAATAATGGTGAGACCTCAGAGCGTTCGCATGCGTTCGCCACGTTCTCTTGCCCAGGTTCGATTCCCGGTTCAGCCGTTCACGAGTCGAGTGAAGAGACCATCCGAGCCGGCCCCAAAGGTGGCGAGGCTCTGGTGGACTTGAACTCCAATAGTCAATAGTCTCAGTCGTGTGTTCCTTTGAATCACGGGGGTTGGTGCATAGTACATAAGCAACATCAAGCAACCAGACAACGTATATAAGTTTTATGGCGTTGGCAGCCTTGCACAGTCCCCCAAACGACACTAATCCATTGCAGTGCCCATCCGCGCTGTTGTGCCTTTCTCAATACATGCCCAGCCAGGCAGCAAGAGATGCTCTTCCGGAAACGGAAGTACCTGGCCAGCTAGTGCAACGAGCCTTCAGCATGCACAGAAACACACACACAGGATCTATATGGATCTATCTTCGGAGGCGAGTTTCAGGCGTCCATTATTCCATGATATGGATTTAGTATGATTTACAGTATGCAACTTAGCTCAATTTAGTGTGTCCATTGTGGAGCCTTTTCTGCGGCCTCTTTGGCGCCTAGTGGAGCCTTAATGGCACAAGCGCCCAGACTGTATACCATCTTCAGGTCTAGCCTTTCATCATGGCCCCAACCACGACCGACCAGTTCTCACAAGTGGCGGGCAAAAAATGTGTTCAAAGGACAGGGGGGTTGGCCGAGACTCAGCGGCTGTTTCGTGGCCACTGAGCCCTCTTTCAGGTCCGGACTGCCGAAGACGTAGCGTGACGCGGCATCCGAGGCGTGACAACGTGCACGGTCGGAAAAAGAAAAATATCTCATCATCTTCTTGTCATGGTATGGGCATGTATGGGGCCCATATATGGCATGGGTGGCGGCATCAGCAATGTTGACCCGAAGGAATGTGGTGTGAGAATAGAAACACCAGAACAACAGCGATCCAAGAACACCCCGGTTGAAGAGGTGCCCTTGCTATTCCTTGCATAGGAAGCTCGTGAAAGAACTCAACTGACACTCTGTAAACGAAACCGATGTGTACGGTTCATCGGACCTCATAGGGCCCCCGATTTCCGTTGTACCGTGAACACGTGCACCTGCTCGCTACGATCTCAAGCAGCTCAAACGATCTGGAGCAGCCAAGGCGCGCAACAAGGGAAACATCTGAGAATCAGCTCCCAAGAGGATTGATGCATCGGGTCCAAGCCCAATGCCATCATTATCACTGAATACCTGGGATATGGAACACGAGCCAGCATGCGGCCAATGTACGTCTTCAGCGACATGCACAGCACCCACCAGCTGTCTTTCTGATGAGACTTGAAAGAGGTACAAAGCTTCACCACACACGCTCACAGGTCCCCTGCTCCTACCATATCACGATCTTTGACTAAGGCTAAGGGCCCGTGGCCCTCATCTGCCAAGCTGCATTCTTCGGATCTCATTCCGTAGAATGAGATTGCTATCCTCCTGATTGCTCGAGGGGAATCAAGCTGGAAAGGTGGAAACTCAGTGCTACCACTACCGCTGCTACCACGGCGAGAATACCCCTGGCCTTTCCATCAACTCTCTCTCTCTCTCTCTCTACCCCTGTTTCCTGTTCAGCCGCTGTGCGAAGCCCCTACGCCCTAGGTCTCCGATACGCAAGTTGCAAGTTAATGCCTCAAAACGAACGACCACAAGACTTTCCAGAAGAGCCCGGTTTTCGCCCTCTCCTGTGCCCTGCTGAGGAGCTCAGGATCCATCTCCTCGGAGCTCCGGTCCAGGAGCAACGAGCAAAGAAGGAAGCTGCTGGGCATCATAATAGGCACAACCGTCACACACAGACACACGCCAAATAAAGAATAGACCTGCACGATGCATGATGAAAGCATACTCTTACTTGGAATCTGTCTTTCTTGAAATGAATTCTCACACAGGGGTTGAGACACCGCGGCGTTTAAACGTTAAACAGGCTCTCATCAAGGGGCAACCCTAAGACGCACCAAAAAGCCATCATTGTCAAGTCTACCAAGCTGATGAGTCAATGGCACCATCCTTCATGTCAGCGTGCACAGTCAATCCCTTGTTTACGGGAAATAAACTTCGAACTGAGCTAGGGACCTGATCTGCTCTCGCTACCATTCCAGTGCCCTCATGGAAGTTCTTGACCTTGGCCCAGTTTCGGTCGTGCCATGTCGTGCCCTTGCTCCATTGCCAGACCCTCCGGTCTTGGAGGTCTGTCGACAGCCAAGGGGCGGGGTCAAAAGCTCGGAAATCTGGACGATTGCCAGCCTCGGCATCGAAGAACACTCACTACACTAGTAGCCACTAGTTACTAGCATCGCATAGCATGGCCCACGAGCCCACAACACCTCCGATCCACTTCGATCAGTGGCTTCCTCAAGTTTGGGCCGTCGTGGCCGTCGTGCCGAGTTGTCCAATCTCAAGAACTGGGAGGCCGAGTTGGCCGGCCGAGTTGACGGAGAGCAGCGTTGGCTTCGGCTGCGTCCAGCCCAAGCCTTCGACCTCCCCAGACCAGTCCCGAGGCCCCGGACTACGGCCCTGTTGAAGGCGCTCGGGAAGCTGAGATCCACATGTCGAGGGCTCACTCCCCAAAGGCCACTTACTCCCGTCACCTGTGACAAGTCCTGCCGGCCGAGGCGTGGAGAAGACGGAGCTTGGGCCGGGCGGACCGATGAATGGGGCTGACCTATGTTCAGAAGTGAGAAATGGATTTTAGGGAGCTCGTGCTACTCCGGAGGGTGTGCTCACTATGCAGCCCAACAAACACCAAATAAAAGCGCAGGACCAGTGTCCTGAAGGACATCTTGCAGGAAACCGAACAGCGCAAGCCTCAGAATGAGACGAAGCTGCTAAAGCCCCAAGTTGCAAAGCCTGCCCTTATGTTCATGGATGTCTCATCTATCAAGGCCCAATACAGGCCTCATTCTACATGCTAGAAGCATGAATCTAGTTGCAGTTGCAGTAACTCCTTGCATACCCACCTGGAAGGTTGTTCACCTCTCATCACCCCGTGCCCACTCTGCAGCTTGACCGATATTTGCAATGCAAGGAGCTGATTGTCTGAGTCAGACGTGTCCTGCGCGCACTGAGTCAGACAGGACTTCTGACGGTCTCTGTCTAAACATCTGTTTGTGGAGCGTCCACTCTTTGGATTGACTCATGGCATGCACTCGGCCAACTAAGATTCTAAGATCCATCCAGGCAGCCAGGCTGCCCTCACCCAACCTTTCCCCAGCCCAAAGGGCACAGTCCTGGATTAGCAAAGGGAAGGTCTTCCTTGACATGACCCTCCGAACCTCTTTGACTACCATGAGCCGTCTGTGCAGCGGCGAAGGTCGAACTCTGGACCCCCCGCAGTCGCCATCTGGAGCGATCTCCAAGGCGGCATGCCTTTGGAACCAACCGAATGAGCTTCTCCTTCACCGCTCCATTACCGCAAGTCCAAAACAAATGGAGATCCAAGGTGGGCAACTTCCAATGTCACCTGCACCCTTAGGGACGCGCCACTTTCAAAGCTATGAGCAATCACTGGGTGGAGTCAGTCCCCGCATCCTGGTCGGAGAGCCCGTCTTGCCTGTTTCTTGGGCACCCCAGGGCCATCGAACTTCCTGCACCCCTTGCAGTACCAAAGTCACCACACAACTGGGAGGTGGGTTAGGTTCAGGTTAAATGTATTCTTAAAAAAAGACTTACATACTGAATCCTTGAGGCAAAGGATCCCAAATTGCAGCCTCATTCCCCAAATTCAGACCAAAACGAAGCGCCCGAGTTCCAACTCGCAAACACCAAGCGCCTGAAGGATGGCACCGTACACGAAGCAACGCCCCAAGAGCCGGTCCTTGGCCTCGTTGGCCTCGGGAGTGGAATGGAGCTCCCCGAGCGGCGGGGGAGGGTGCGTGGTTGAGAACCTTCGGCGTAGTCCAACGAGTGAAGACATGAGTACGTCGTTGCCGGGGAGAGAGAGGAGGGAAAAAAGCATGTGTTTTCTCCCAAAATGGGCGCGCATGGGGAAATTTTGGAGAAAGCTGTTGCTGCGGCTGCTGAAACACCAAGCCAGGCCCTTGGTTGGAAGGCGCTGCTCCTTTGCGAACCCGATCAACTGGGCACGACCACCCTGAGGCCAGACTGAAGCTCGGTGGCCTTGTCAATCTCCTTCAGCACCTCACAGGGAGGTGCTAACCCGTCCGGGAGGTCATGATATGGTTTAGGAGGCCCTCTAGGGCTTGGTATGGTTTAGGAGGTGCCATTTGGAACCATGGGACCGGCGCAGAAAGCCTTTCGGCTGAGAGTCTATGTAGACAGGTGCAGCTTGTGAGATCCAGCATGCATTTGCAGATTGCCGAGGTTCTTGCAATTCTTCCCAAGTTTGGAAGTTTGATGCGTTGGATTCCGGTGCCCTCGACCCAAAATCGATCCTCTCCCGAGAAAAAAGCAGAGGAATCAATCCAAGAGCTACAAATTCCTATGGGTTTCTGCCTCTGCTTCGATTCTACGAAGCACGTCGACGGTCCAAACAGGGAAGCAATGAAGCATCAACATGCCCTGTCCGGAAGGCTAAGCAACAAGGTATCACCCCCCGCGGAGATGGCCCAGCGGCTTCGACCATCTCTGCTTCAAAATCCTCTCTGCACATGAAGAACAACCCCTCAAAACGATTCAAGAAGTGAATAACCGGACCCGCGGCGCGAAGCGCATGCGCGAAGCACGCCGCGCCGTCAAGGCTTGGGAGGGCATCGCATGCAACAGCTCAGCGATCGCCAGGGAGAAGCCAGGGCCTGGCGTTCGCTGTCAGAAGAACCAGCCGAGGTGGGAGGTGGGAGACGAACGCTGTCAGCCGAAGAATAGAACCTCTCTTGTTGAATCTTGGCGTGCTTCAAGTCGTGCAGAGTTAGCTTCTCCAATTCTTCCTCGAGGTCTTGAATATGGCATCGCTTCACTGGCAGCCCTCGCAAGTCCCTTCAAGACTGCCTCTGCGAAGCTCGATGGGGGAGGAGCTTGCGAAGAATCAGCATATTTGCATTACAAGGACATTTTGTGATTGGCAAAAGATAATTTCCGAATAATAGTGAGAGATCATGAGACACATGTACCTAACGCAACGTGCAACATGTGCTTCTCAAAAGAACGGCGCTGTTGGAAAGTGCACGACAAAATGCATCAAAATGCTCGAAACAAAATCCAAGGTTGCCCAGTTTGCCATGAACCACCTCACTGTGCCCTGCCGGACCAGCCCCAGCGGCCCTGCCCTTGGTAACTCGACAGATTGGCGGCAGAACTCTCTGGACGATTGCACCTCAAAGCGGCTTATCTCGATGCCCGTTGGCTCGGCTAAAAGGAGCTCAAGGCCACGAGTCGAAATCGAAGATATCAACACATTGAGGCATTTCCCTACTTGCCTGTTGCATCGACTTTTGAACTGATATATGCCCCACAAGCCGCGCAGCTCTCTCTCTCTCTCTCTCCCCATATGGAGGCCGTGATGCCAAACCCTTCGTCGTCCGAACGGCAGCCAGTCGCAAATGGAACATGCGCTGGACGCCCCCTCTTTTTTGAAACGGCCGCCTGCGGTCCTCAAGGAGGACCAGTACAAGGACGTATACTACGACATTGCCGTGGGGTTGAGGAAACCTGACGGCCTTGCGTTGAAGACTCATGCCATCAAGGAGACCTGATCCGGGTCATAACTCGAAGATTATTAATATTCTTGCAACCTATGGTGTGGTCCTTGCCTTGGCAACTTCAAACCCATCACATCCCACAGGGAATTGAAACTTGATGGACTTGCAACAGATACTCTCTCTCTCTCTCTCTCTGTCTCTCTCTACTCTAGACTTCATGTGTGCTCTTCTGTTGCTCCATTGGACCCATGCGGGAGGGTTCGGGCATGGTAGCTGATGACATTCACTCAGGTGGCACGATCACCGACCTTCCTTTGATCACAAACTGGGAAAAAGCCGCCAAATCGCCCAACCCCGGATGGAACGCTGGAGCGCTGCTGAAGAAGGTGCCATGTGCAGAGGTGCCCTGCCCTACTCCTCTGTGCAAGAATATCACGAACCACTGCACCAAAAAAAGAAAAACACCTATCTCACCACTGATGTGCACATGCACATCATCTTCCTCAGGTTTGGGGCAACTTTGTAGTTTGGCGGGCCAAGACAATTCAACAGCGAGTGAACATTGACTTACACTGCACCACCCCTGGGCAGTACCTTGTCTGGACCAGCAACAACTTTAATCTCAACAAGTGAGTCCCACTTGGAAGGGATGACGCCGCTATGTGTTTTAAAAATATGGGAAGGGAAATGTCGCGATCGCGTTATCAAGAGTCTGGCCATCAAAACCAAAGCTTAAGTGCCGCCGTGGGGGGGGGGTGAGCTTGGGATGGAATGACGACAACCCAGAGTAGTGCGAGCGCTGGCCCCCAGACTGAACCGCGCACCCTGCCATATCATCTTCCACACAAGGGAGAACACCCGTGCTCACTTGAGCTCACTCGCCCGCCGGTGCGCCTGCGGTCGTGAAGATTGCGGAGCTAGCTTTAGCTACCGAACTCCCTGACACCTCTCTGATTACAAAGCCACTGAGGGAAGCAAAAAAGATATACATATGTAATACATACATATATACATACGCAATATACTAATATTTGTCTCTCTCTCTCCCTCTCTCTCTTTCTTCTTGAAGGCACACCCATCACCCACGAGAAGTTCTAGTTGCTGAATTGACTTCCAAACCAGGTCCGGAGCTTCCTGTCTGTCGGATGGTCGGGCCCTCTCGGTCGGACCGTCTCGGTCGCCTCCTCCAGCTTCAGGCTTCTTCTGCCATCTCTCTTTCCTGTCGAAAAACGGCGCGTGTCGCCCTGGGCGACTCTGAAGGGAGTGGTCATCCGGTGGATTGAAAGGGGTCGCTCTTCTGTCCTCTTCTGGCAAGCCCCCCAGCTGCTCAGCAGCCCACCCCAGGAAGAACAAGTACAAAAAAGAAGGACATGCAACAAAAACAGGCATCACTCCCCCTCTCTTGACGTCTCATCGGTTTCTGGCCTTCGAGGTGGATGCCGCTCCACGGCCTCGGCCTCCCATTCGCCCCGCTTCCGCCGCGAGCACAGCAGCCGGACGAAGGACTTCAGCCGGTAGAGCACGTTGCCGTCCTCGCGGAATAGAGCACGGCGGATGTGACGATGTTGTGCCCCTCCTGAACCATCATCTGGAGGGGTCTGGGGTCGAAGCTGCAGCAGTAGCGGCCACCCTTTTGCCGCTTGAACAACAAAGGGCTTCATGTTCACCCTTCTTTGGTACACTTCTTGATTTAAGTGCGTGTTCTCGCACCTTGGACTCTCATGAAAACTTGGTACACTTCTTTATTTGTGCACCTGCGCTCCCCCTTCGCTGCTAAGCGAACTGAGGTGCTCTTTTGTCCAAAATCCCCTTTTCGGGGAGGCTCAAGCCCCTTCACGTCGTCTTGAAGACGGTATAGCCCCACCACAGCTCCAGCAGGCACCCTCGCTTGCCGTTCCTCTCATCCACGAGGATCGTTTTCCTCTTGGACGCGATGTGCCATGCCACCGTCATCCTCCACTTTCCCCACCTCTCTTCGAGAAGCGTCTCACCCTCGAAGTCATACAACTTCTTCCTGTCCTGGTAGTGGACTCTGATCCCCACCTTCTTGCCCCCCTCGAAGTCAATCAGGTAGTCCCATGAGTCCTTGGCCGAGGTTCTCCGTGGTGGAATCGAGAGAACCCTTTGCACCGCTTCATTGATGAAGCCTCTCTGGAATCCCGGCGTCCTCAAGTAGTCCGCCATTTCCTCCTCGTGGCACCACTTTCCCAGCACAATGCCCGGCTCGACCGTGGTGATCAACCTTAAAGGTTCCACTCTTGGGAGACTCGGCTGATGGCCTCCATCCCGTGGACCTTCTCCTCCTTGAGGCTGTGCCCGAACTTCTTCACTTCCCTGTGCCATCATCTCGGCCCATTCGTTCGGTCCTCGTCCGTCACCTGGATCTCGCGCCACGAAGTGAACTCCCTCGCTATCGAGCATCACCCATGTTCCTCCGTGGTCACGTCGTGGTCCTCGACGGATCATGTAGCGATCCCACGCGCTCATCGGCAGCCCCAACTCTGCCCGCCGCCTCCTCTCATTCTCGGGGTCGTAGCTTCCTCGATGCCGGAGTTCTGAATCGTGTACTCGAAGTACATCAGGGCCTCCTTGATGGTCACCACTCAAACTCTCACCGTGCACCTCCTCTATCTGGGTACTCTGATGCAATAGTCCCTGATCGGCTTCTCCATGGTGTCCTGCTGGTTCAGGTCGGTCAGGAAATGGTCCATCTCTGGCCGTGGCCGATGTCTGCCCAGAAGACGCCATGGTTGCGCTGTTGGGACTCAAATGCACCCTCATTGTTCTCATGGAGATGCGGCCAACTGGAGCGCTTGTCCCGAGCTCCTGCCTCTGGTAGAGCGGATCGTCTGGTTCAGCCCAGGGGTATGCTTCTTCATGAGCAGAATACCCAAATCCTCTGTTGCCTCTCTGGGTCTCGCTCAGATCCTCCACATGGCTCACTCCCACCTCCAGGATGCGCTCCACCACCAATTGGGCCACACGATCCCCCTTGTAGATTCGTAGGTCATCATCCGACCAGTTCCGGAGCAGTACCTTCACTTCCCCTCTGAAGTCTCGGTCAACAACTCCAGCTCCCGTTTCTATCCCTCTGATGGCCAACGAGGATCTCGGTGCGATTCTGCCGTATGTTCCGGCGGGTAGTTCAACCGCCAGTCCCGTTTTGATCAGCACGCTCTCACCCGGAGGAACCAGCGTCTCAATGACGGAGTACAGGTCCAGTCCCGCGGCATGGTCGGACCCTCTCGTAGGCAGTCTTGCCTCAGGGTTGAGCAGCTTGACTTTGACTTCCTCCTTCGGCTTGAACCACCGTTGGATGCCAGAGGTTCCCACGCGGAAGGCGATGTCCACCAAAATAGCGATGGCTGCCGTGATCAACACGATGATCCACCACTCTCCTGTGGTTTCCTTCTGCTCTTCAGTCGCCGCTTCCACCTTTCCCAACAGGCTCGCTGCAGCAACCAGCAGTCCAATGCCCCTGGTGAAGCCGGGTTCAACTCCCTTGTGGACCTCAATCTTCTTGACCTCAATCGGCCTCTTCTCTGCCCCCTTCAGCCCCAGGGCTTCCTTGAACCTTCCCAATGCGGGTCCTGTGAGTTGCTTGGTGAAGCCATCGGCAACGAGGACCTTCCCGGACACATGATCCAAGGTGATCTCCTTCTCCCGGATCGCCTCGGTGAGTCCAGCTGCCCTGATCCGTAGGTGTCTCGTCCTCCATGACGATGTCGTCCCCGTTGCGATGGCGATGGCGGCTGTCGAGTCCGAGTGAAGCCTCACCTCCGCCTTCTCCCTCAAAACTGCTTCCATCAAGGCTGCCGTGGATCTCCCCGCGATGAGTCCTTCCAACATTGCCATCAGCTCGGCCTCCGCAGTTGAGAGGGTTATGAATGGCTGTCGTGTCGTCTACCATCCCACCGGGGTTCCTCCGACAAAGACGACTACTCCGGAGATGCTCTTCAGCTCTGACGAACCATAGGAGGCATCCGTGTAGATGTCAACCGTCCTGATCGTGGCCTTCTCATCGCTGTTGGCATTCTCCCGGGTGCCACCGTCATCCGCAGAAAAGACCAAGACCTCCTCCAGTGTCTCCTTGAGGTGGGTCCGAATCTGTTTCCCAATCTTGATCACCTGCGCCGGTCTCTTCGACGCCCATTGAGACATGATGCCAACACCCAGAGACAGGTCGGGTCGTGATCTTCCCGCCACCCACAACAGCTCACCCGTCTCCTTCTGCGCCTGGAGGACTTGGTCCGCCGTTGGTTCTTCCTCCTCCTCGGGAGTTCGGACTTGGCCTAAGGCACCTCTTCCAGTCTCTTCGTACTCGCTCAGCAAGTTGGTGATGTAAGCCTGCTGGTGGATGACATAGTCGACCCCACGCTTCTCCACCTCCATTCCCAGGAACCTCACGGGCTCTCGTCCTTCCACCACCCATTCTGGCTCTCCAATCTTCCAGTGGGTTTTCACCTGTTCGATGAACCCAGTGATGATGTCCCCTTCGCCCACCATGAGAACGTCGTCCACGTACGTTGCCAACGCCCCCTTCGTCCTCCATTCAGACTTCTCATCTTCCTCCTGGATCAACCAGATGTCCGTCTGGGGGGTGGCCTGCACTCGGACTGGTCTTCCTTGTCGACTCCATCGGAAGTTCTTGATCTTCCCGTCCCGATGATCACAC